ACAGATAGATAGATAGAAAGATTTATCTATCTTTATAAAATAATATTTTTATTTATTTATTATTTTTTATTTTTTTTTTCTTGTCTTTTTCTTCTCTAAACCTGCAGCTCTTTTAGGTGTACCGTAGGGATGTGGGTAAGGGTTAGGCTGTTGAGATTATAATTAGTTTTATATAAAAACAATGAAAGTCTATGGCATGTCCTCATTTAGATAAGAATATGTGTGTGTACTGTATATGTGTGGCTAAAGCATTCTTTCTTGTATTTAGCAGTTTCGTCTGGCCAAACAAGAGCAGAACTTGTTATCTGAGAATTGGCTGGCCAACAGAGACCAGTCTGGATTCGATGTAACTAATATGTCTAGGATTTTATGGAACGCTGGTTATTGTGTTTTATTGTGGGTTTATTTAGCTATTCCTTTGGTGCAAAATTGTTGCAAAAGTTAGCGGAATCTGATAAAACCTGGTTTAAGGGGCATCCAGGGACATCCTCAATTGTCAAAGAATTTATGAAGCAAATAATGCTTTTTAGTGATAGTCTTTAGTTAGAGCAGTGGTTCTCAACCCTCGGCCCGTCACGAATTCAAATGCGGCCCACCATGCTGAACACAATAAAAAAAATTACTTTCAGTTTTACAATTCATTTTAGTTTTTACATTAATTAAAAAATGTACTAAACAGATATAAGCTATAATGTTTTTGTTGCGTAAAATAATTTTGTTTTTCATATATTATTTTCAGACATGAGCAGACCTGTACTCATGTAATTAACATTACGCATTTAACGAACACTTACAAGCGCGCACTTTGGCAGAATTCAATTCAAATAGTCATTAGCAGCCATTAGTTTGGTAAGATTGTAGAGCCCTGCACGGGCCTCAAATATAGTCCCTAGCCTGGTCTGTGTCCGACAGCTTATCAGAATTACCGTCCCGAGCCCGTCATTTTTTCCCCCTTCTCCCAAAACAGCTTATACTACTGTTTCAGCTATATTAAAATAGTTCAGTTTTGTATGTATGAACAGGAGCGCTTACAGAAATGAACCGAAACTCAGCGAATACATGCCTCACAGACATGATAGATATATCTATAGAAAGCTTTAAATTACTACTTAATGAAATAAATAAAAAACAAAAATGTCATTATTTATTATAATCATAATCCGTAAAGATGCACTTCTCTCTAAAGGCGCGTCTAATGAAGAGATGGCGAGTCAGGATCGTCATTGACACATTCATGGTAATTACTTTTCCCGGTATTTTTCGGCAAGCTTAAGGCTATTGCGTGCATTTGAACGCAGATCTCTTCAGCTGTGTTGACGGCACGCACCATACATGCTGCTGCTGCTGGACTCTAAACACCGTCGAGCCACTCTTGACAGTCGCGTGTTGTTTCCACCGGCGCGGCAAATTATTTTTTTTTCATCACTAATTGATGGATGTCTAAAATATAAAAATAAGGAGAAGCCTAAAACAAGCCCGATGTCCGGCCCACGTCTTAACTATGACGTGAAAATTGTCCCGAAGCCCGGCCCCTAGTGCCGTAAAAAAGTTGGGGCCCGTTGAGCCGAATTGGGTCCGAATTTCACAAAATTGGTCAGCTCCCGACAGCATCAGGTGTTTTATTAATGGTGAGTATAATTATTTATTTATTTATTTCAATGAATGTAATCGATTAGATATCATAATATTTAGGCTATAATAGGCTATTATAAATCTGATTGGTTTGTGTTGGTGACATAATATGTAAATTATATGCGTGCGGCCCGTGATACTTGCACTTGGACCATAGTGCGGCCCAGTGGAAAAAAAGGTTGAGAACCACTGAGTTAGAGATAGTCTATAATCTTTATAATTAGCTGCATTATTGTATTTTCAGCAGCCTTTTCTTCCATAAAGAACATTTGACATTCATGGAACATTTCCATTAAAAACAAGGTTCTTTAAAGAGGATAAAATTTATTTAGATTTTTAAAATGTTCTTTACATTACACTGCAAAATATGATTTTCTTACTTAGTATTTCTTACTTAGTTCTTACTTTGTTTTCCAGTACAAATGTCTAAACATTCTCAAGATACATTTAATCG